ATACCTAATGTGGATGTTCTCATCTGAATGGCACAGTGAGCCTTTTTGCTTGGATTTTATAGGTTTCTGCTGGTACCATTGCTTGGTACTATTTTGGAGAATCAGCTTGGTAGAAACTCCTTACAAGTAACATGATGACTTTCACCCTGGAACAAGTTACAATGCCATTTTGTGTTGCTTGAGGATCAGCTGGGTATACTATCATTCATTACCTTGCAAGCAATCTGCGTATAATGAAAATTTGTCTTTGGAGGAACAAGAAAGCAAATCTATTATTTTCATGCAAATAGAGAATAAACCATTAGATGACCTGCTTTTCCTGACATGGACTATCTGTTTATAGAAAAATGACTCTCTGCCGCAGTTGGATTTAATGGCTTCATTGTGCTTGTCATTCTACAAACATAATAGTAAGAGGTAATCTATGCTTCAACAAGCTTATACTAAAATATTGATTGTTATTTTAAGAAATATTACTGAGAGACAAGAAATAGGGGACAGCAGGCAGAAAGTCACATCACAAATTAGAACAGAGATCTGAATCTGTATTTCCTGGATCCTACTGTAGAGCTCTATTTGTTGGACTATAATGTCTTAGGTACTATTGCTTCCTCTTAAAAAAATATGCAGTATTAGGAAAAAAAATCCAACTATTGAATTATTTACAGATCCACTCACTTCCCTCCACCATATAATAATTTCTCAGTCATTGACCTCTCCCCTTTTTTCTTTTGGAATTCTCTTGGATTTTGATTGTGCAATCCATTTGTAAACTGGGTTGGTGAATGAGGACTGAAGAAGTGGCCTACTACTTTATCAGATCATGAGCTGGTTATTCATTTGTATCCCGTCAAATCCATGAGAAATATGCTGTAGAGTGAGAGGAGAAGTGGCAAGAAAAGGTGCCTGCATGAGTGATAGAAATTTGAGATGCAGATGTAAATGACAGAATTCACATGAGAATCTTTAGATTTCTCTTTCCTAGCTAGAAAGTATCGTAATCTCTCAGTTTTTTTCAGGAGCATTTCTATGAACAACTAACTTTTTTTTTTTCACCTTTCTCCTCCACATATTTCCAAATTATTTGTCCCTTCCATCTCTTATCCTTTATCTCCATATAATGTCCTAGGAACATCTTGGAGCCTGAAAGTAGTCAGCTTTGGTAAATGATTAAGAATGGTTCGTGTGCAAATTTCTGGATCCAAGTAGGTTCAGCCCGTGGGAGAGTTTGAAGTCCCATCTTAGGACTAAGCTCCAAGTATTATTAAATGGCTAAAGTTAGAAGTAGTGGGTAAATAGATGCAGAGCTGCAAGTCAAATCTTTACACCCGTTCTTTTCCCTCTCCCCACAACCTTGCTTCATGCGCAGTTGTTACATGAGTCAGTCCTTCTACCTCTGCCACCCCCCTCTAAGTGGGAAAGTGGATCTATAAAAACTAATAGAAATGAGGAAAAAAAAAAAAAAACTAGCTCTTGATCTTCAGACTTAGAGACTTTGACTGAGAGCCAAATATTTCAAACAGCAGCCCTTTCATAACAGGGAGAGCTAATGCTAGATCTGTTGGGTATGCAGTGCGACCACATAACGCTCAGCACATGTCAACATAACTGATAACCAAATTGTACCTCTCAACCTCCCATACAGCATACCTTTGGCAGACTGCCAGGCTCTAAGCCCTAATTAACACGCTGCCCTGCTATGACTGGAAGGTTAAAGCCACAGCTTTATTTACTGCACAATTAACGGGTAAACATGACTTAATCATAACTTAAACATTCAGCTTTTACGAGAAAATTTCAGAATCCTTTTAGGAGCCCTTTTGACCTCAGTGCTTCAAGCAGACCTCTTGTTATGTGCAGTTAACTACCTGTTCCGCCAAGGGACACCATGGCTCTCCATGACACTATAGATTCCCATCCTTGAACACATTAAGAACCACATCATCTTAATAGACAGTCTTGCATGTGGGTCTGAGTAGTTATAGTCTCATCCCACCGGCAAACCTCTTCTGGGCAAAACATGCTTCTGATGGCATCAGAGCACTGACTTCAGGGCGGATCCTCAAGTAGCAGGATGTCTCTTATTCCTTTTTGGACCTTTAGATAATAACACTCGGCTGTGGCCTGCACTAAACCCTCAGCTTTGATCAAAATGCAGCAGCTCAGTCCTGGCCCTGCAGAGACTTAGGCATATGCTTAACCTTACGTCTTGTGGGCAGGCACATTAGGTTTAAAACTAACCACTCACAGTGTCTGGCATCCATGCACTGTTTGTTTAGCGTGTTTGGAGCTTTTCATAGTATCTAGCTTATTCATTTTTTGTTTTGAAGTACAATAGGAACCCACCAATGTTTAGTGACTTCAGCTAACAAATTTGCTTTTGCTTAAGAGAATTGGTTCCTTAGTACCCACTGAGCATGAGGCAACTCTAATTTATGGATTGCCTCATGCCCAAACAGGCATCAGTCCTTTAAAGTAGGGTAGATATTAAACCAGTATCTGGGTCTTACACCGTAGAAAGGGAATTTTATTCTGGCGTGGAGGCCCACCAGCAGTGCTTGCTCCACGCTAGACTTCCTGTGCATATAGAATCAAAGAGTGGCCAAGGTTGGAAGGGACCTCTGGAGATCATCTAGTCCTTGCTCAAGCAGGGTCCTCTAGAGCACATTGCCCAGGATTGCATCCAGGCAGGTTTTGAATATCTCCGGAGAAGGAGACTCCACAACCTCTCTGGGCAACCTGTTCCAGTGCTCAGTAACCCTCACAGGAAAGAAGTTTCTCCTCGTCTTCAGATGGAACTTCCTGTGTTTCAGTTTGTGCCCGCTGCCTCTTGTCCTGTCAAAGGACACATCTAAAGATTAAGCAGCCAGTCCTCACCTCCAGAATGAAATAGTTTACCTAGGAGTCAGTGTATGGTCACCACATTTTGATCTCCCCCTCCCCCACCAAGATGTAGAGCCATTACATTGCTGAGTGCAGAAAAATAGGTCCCCAAAAAGGGTCGGAGGGAACAAAAACAAACAACTTCTGGCTTGCTCTTCTGAAGTTGAATGACTTATAATAAATAAATATTGTTTACTGAAATTTATTATTTTCAGTATAGCAATATTTTTCAATATTGTACAGAGAAACACAAGACAATTCATGAAACTTGGCTACAACAAACCTCTTCTGCCTAAACTCCTGGTCTTCTAGGTCAGAAGCACCAGACAGTCTTTGCTCATACTTTGCTCTCTGCTTTTGCTGTAACATCATCTTTTTTCATAGCACACTGTTTCTGCCAAGACGTTGCAGTAAATCCTGAACTGGCAATATTGTCTCTCCCACCCCTGATTCAGCCTGCAGTGAGGAGAATCATTGGCAGGAATGGAGAAGAAAAGGAGGAAGTTGTTGATATCAACCCGAGTGAGTTACTAAAGAATTTTTAACACCGATTTAGATATATTGCTGTATTTTACAGCCTGCAGAATAAAACTGATCAAAAGAGAAAGAAAATTGTTTGTATTTTTTTTTGCTGGAAAATGATATTTATTAATAGTTTTAGCATTGTTGCTAATACCTAATTTTTTCATTGCCTTATGTATTTCTCTGAGATACCAAAAATGCTGCATCTGATGTCATGTAAGACTTAGGTAAGGATATGTGAGAAGAAAATTGGGTGAACTGATGCTGGTGCTTCTAGTGGAGTGGGTGAGGAGAGAGCGGAGCACAGTTTATTGTGAACTGTGCTGAAGTCCTCAGTTGTGCTGCTTAGATAGGCATCATCCAGAGTTGAACCTGGAACCTGAACCCCTGTCTGCTCCTTTGAGCTTCCCCCACCCTTTAAGAGCCAATTCCTTCCTTCATTTCAGACCACACTAGAGGTTGATATGAAGTGGGAGGCATTGTAGAAAAATCAGGGAAGTTTGTGAATATGATGTTGGCCAACTGGTTTGCAAAAATGCCTATGCCTGTACTTGTTACTCTTGCCGCGGCCCATGGTGTATTTGCCCCCTGTTTGTGTGAGCCTTGTACCTCCAGGCAGTGCCTGCAAGAAGGTAACTGTTGCGTGCTAAACTGCTTCAGTAGTCATGTAAGGCCACATTTTAGTGGTGAGACTGAATGACGAATTACAAGTCTAATGCTCTATTTTTAGCCCTGCTGTTGAATTATGTGCATTAAATTTTGTGCACTGAGGAGGAAACCAGTTGCACTGACTTCCATGCTCCTCAGCCTCCCCATCTGTACAATGGAACTAGTGATGTTCATCAAGAAAACGTGAGTGACTTGAAGTTTACGTTGTGTTTGGAAACAAGCTTTGGTTTCTTGGATTCAAGATCCCTTTAGAAGTGTCAAGTTGTATTTACGTAATGTGACTCTGATGGGTTTTTTTCTTCTCAATATTTTATTTACTTCTTGGCTTCAGGAATAATGTGCACATCTCCATGTCTGTCTGTGCCAGTGCTCAATATCGTGTGTGCCAAGATATGTTATGGTGTCTGTATTTACTATGTACAGCCTACATGCAGCCTTTGTGAGCAAGTATGGCAGCGATGTAGTGGGGGATGGGGTAGTATCTGTGTGTCTGCATATAAGATCATATATTTGTATAAAGTGTGTGTCTGTGGGCTTCTGAGACTGAGGGGAGTCTGTGGTTCAGACAGTCTGCCTTTTTTTTTCTCTCTAAAGGCAGCAAAATATGTTGATATGGATTTTTTTTACAGGAGCTTTTTGCGTTTTAAGTTAATACATTTTCCTCACATCAGACCTTGCCAAACATTTACTTACTAGTACTGTGAAAGCAGGTTACCCAAAGGCAGCACCGTTCCCTTGTTGTTTTCTCTTCTTCCAAACTGCTCATAGACATTCTGTAATAAGACTCCTGGTTAAAAACAACAGAAAATGAACATGAGCAGAAAAGATGAGCGAAAATGCCTGTGCTTATACTGCATGTGCGCTTAAGTATTTTGCTGAACTACTGCCAGGATTGTGAGTTTATACAGCATAAACACTGCCACAGGTTTGCTCTGTGTAACGGTAAGCCAGTCATTTCATTTGTGAATTGTGTCCAGTGTGATTTTTATGTTCAATATTCCCAGTGGTAAAATAAAGTTTTAGTCATGGTGCAAATTAGAGCTAGAGAGATGCTTCATCTAGACTATTTTACAGCAAAGTGCAGAATAGTCATTCATGAGAATAATATCTGTGATTTTTTTTTCTCTCAGAAATGGAATGCCTGCAGTAAGAAAGTACAGTGCAAAGGAAGTGAACTCTTCCTGACTGCTGGAGGTTGTGAGTAATGACCTTCCCTTCCCTTCCCTTCCCTTCCCTTTCCCTTTCCCTTTCCCTTTCCCTTTCCCTTTCCCTTTCCCTTTCCCTTTCCCTTTCCCTTTCCCTTTCCCTTTCCCTTTGTTTTCTTTTTTCTATTAGCAACTAGAAAGAGTCCTCAGCGGAAATAAACTATTTAGTCTATGTATGGATCGTTCAGCAAAGGGATTGAAATACATTCTTCACAAACATGTTGAACATGCCCAGCCATTAACAACAAAATTGTTAGGCAAATAAAACAAAAGATTTTCCACACTGCCAGTAGGGAGATAAATTGATCTGTCTTGCTTTGGCTGTTTGTGTGCATTAAGAAATGTTGCACATATTCTGAGAGTTTCACATAGCTAGTATTTTCTGTTTTGCCATACCAAAATCTCTACAAGACTGTATCTTGGCATCTTTTTATTGACCTCGTTTCAGTGAGGAAACGAGGACTTTCACTGAAGTTTGTTTAGCCAATTAACATATTAATCATATATATAATATGTTTAAGTATTTTGATAACCCAAATCTAAAAAGTCACTTACTTCTTCGGAAAGGACTGCACTGAACTGTGTATTCACTGACAGGGTATACAGTTTTCAAGAATAAATTCTTGACACTACACTGGGAGATGACTTGCTGCTTCCGAGAGCAGGATTTCAGAGAACTTTCATTACTGACCTTTATCTTTTCCCATTGAAATGAGTGACTTTAAATTCATTAGAAGTGAATTCATTGATTTACTAGATAGCGCACAGATTGGTGAAGCCAAAGCACAGCCCCCACAGCATATGGAAATCCATTTGTCTGTGGCCACAGGGCAAGTTAGCACACTCTCAGCTATTCTCAGCACACTGGTTGAAAACAATATGCAGACCATGATATAGCTGTAGAGGCAAGATATAATGCAGGTTAGGCTACCAGATGCATTTGAAACTGCTTTTTAGAGCTGTACAAACACATCCAATGAGAATCATTAAGCTAATATTCACGATTCCACTCTAAATATTTATACCTTTTCAAACTACATCTTGAAAGACATTAAGTGCTTAAGTTCCATCCTAAAAATAAGTGTGGAAGCCTTATGATGCTTCATTTTTTAATCTCCAGATTTTTCTTGAGGTTTTTGAGTGTGTTTTTTTTAAACACATTGAGATCAATGGTACATGCAAAACAAAATTTGGAAATTCCTCACTGTGGCTGATTTTGAGTTCATTGAGCAGAAAACGTCCGATCAGAACATACAGGGAAAGATTTTGTGTGTGTGTGTGTGTGGTTTTTTTTGTTTTCAGTGCTAACATAAATAAACTGTTTAACTGATTTTGTATAAACTTTCCAAAAAAAATCTCAAGCATGGAAAATTTCAGCCCAAAATGGAATTTATTTGAGAAAATTACAAGCAACAGAAAAAGCGGGTTAGAATGGAAATCTGAACTCATCATTAACTAGAGTTAAGCGCCAACTTAAATGCCAGTTTTTTTTCTGCTAATATTTGGTTTAAAGTTACATACAGGTTTGGAAGAACTTAGCTCTTTTTAACCCCTTTTTTATTACTGTCACTGGCTTAGTTTTATTTTAAAGTGATGGCATGGGTTCAGGACTCAATATCTATCTTCACCGCAGTAGGAAACGCACTTTTTAGCTTTTTCTTTCAGATCATTGCTTGAGACCGTATTCACACAGCCTTAAATTCCACCTAAATCCCTGTGCCTAGCATTTACTATTGGTTGGCTCTAAACATTTAGTGGCAAAAGCCAATAGGGATCATTAGGCTAAGGCGGGCCTTAAACTGTCACATTATGGCTTCTGGTTTCCATTGCATATCTGTGGTGGTGCAAGAAGACAAGAGGTCTACCTAACAGAGCGAAAATTTGCGAGAAGGTACGCATAAAACTCAGTAAAACACATTGTAGCAGAAACAATGAAGTACTGTGTTTTTAATCCTTAGTGAGGGCAGAGACCTGCACAGTTTCATGTCTGAAAATGATGGCAAGTAATGTTTTGAGCACATGTCATACTTTTCATCTGGAAATCTCAGAACATTTCAGAAAGTGAGGAGATGAATGTTATTTGACTGCTCTTACTCTTGATCTAACTAAATATGGAGATTGCTGTGGTCTAATGGATAGGACCTGAATCTAACTCCTTAGCAAGCAAGATTCTGTTCCTGGCTCCACTGCAAATTCCCTATGTAACCTCTGGCAAACTTTCTCTTCCTCTGTTCCTTCCTTTGGAAAATTCCTCTGAATTCAGGGGGGGCACTTTGTTGGGGAATGCAGGATGAGGAGTCACTTTACCAGATTTGGAGTCTTTTTTACTTCTTGAAGATTAGCCAGTTCAGTTCGAGACCGATAATGAATTTCTCCATTGCTGTTCTTAAGAGAATTGTCTCGTTTTCCAGTGATGTACATTTCGTTTACATTTTATGCTTTCTCCTTTTAAAGACATGTCTGATCTTTGTTCCTAATTTTTAGTCTAAGAGTTCTTTATTAGATATACAGAAGAAGGGATCCAAACAGGTGTTAAAAATAGCTATAAGCACTCTTAATTTAAAAAATGTGTATTTCAGCTATTCAGAAAACATTCAAGTGGCCGATGAAGTTGCACTCAGCGTTTGAATGCAACACTTCTTCTCTTATTTTTAAATGTGAAAATGCTTAACTTACAGAACTTTGAAGAAGTGACTGACAACGCAGGCACCTGCGAGAGCGGGGCTACAACTCTGGCACCACAACTCCAAAGCAGAGGCCTCTGACACTTGAGTTAAAAGAAGACATCTATCAGACACTCTATGAAAGAGTCTCCAAGTTCTTTCCAATCTGCAGAAACATCCATACAAACTAAAGGGCAACGTGCCTACACACAAAGGGTATGTTCAGCCAGCCTAAATCCCATGAGTGCTTAGTCTTTCCTCTCAGCTGGTTTTCAGTAGCTCTCTCCTTAGGTTACTTCAGCCCTCTCAACTATATTTCAGATGCCTCCAGGGACACTTTCCTCTCTCCACCAAATAAGCATAGGGACCCAAGTGGGATATGGACTGTCATACGTGGTCCTCAGGGCCCAATTGTGTTCTCACTTGAGGCGTTACAAAAAATCATTCACTGTCATCACTGAAAACTGAACTGGCCTCTGATTTGTCCATAGTAACACTATTATTAGGGAATATTTACCCTGTCATGAACTGTTGGTTGACATTTCTGATAAATTCAGGTTCTTTAGACAGATGACCGCACAGAAATTGGTTAAATACGTTTCTAGACTTATGGAAATGCTCTGAAAATTTCAACCATTTCTTCAGTAGCATACTTCTTTTCGAGGAGATCTAACTACAGGGAAAGCTTGAAAGTGTGGCAACAAGCTTTGTTTTGCTGTTTCTGTTTTTCAGTAACATGGACAAAAATACAATCTAAAGGGCAAAATATTTATTTTGGTCCAGAATTATTCTTACTTCTTAATGATTATCTTTCCTTCTGCTTTTTCTAGAGTGCACATTCTTTCACATCAGCAGAACATATGGGTGGACATGTGCTAAATATATGTTTAATCTAAAATTCAGTAACAAGCACAGAAATATTGAACAATAGTGCCTTTATTAAGATATAATTATGCCAACCCAGGAGGGAGTTATGATAAGATAATTACTGAACTTCTTGAATAGACTGGGATTTGCTTTCAAATAAAAAAAATCAGTATTGCAGCAATACTTCTGATGTGAACACTCAATTTATATAGAATTTACAACTCAAAACATGGCGTTCTGATGAAACAGATGCAAACTAATTGAAATACTTTAAAAACAATTTTTTTGAAAGTAATAGTCACTACTTGAGCATGCTCAGTGCTGTCACAGCATATCATGGCAGTCAATGTAACCTCTATTAGGAAAGGAAGGGGCAATTTAAACATACTGTGAGACTTGAACTGATTAAAGTGATTAAACTGGTTCTGTTGGTCCCCAGCTTCCCGTATTATTTGGCCTTCCATTCTCCATATCGCTGATTTAAAATCCTCACGAAGTGGACCTGGAATAGACACAGGCTCAATTTATCTATGTAGTGCTCAGAGATGGGCAACAGCAGCTCCTGACTCCAATACAAGGCCCGTATTCCTTTTTCCCCTGCAGAGATTCCCCCCATCAGCTTCCTTTAGCAGGGAGCTTTTTACAACTGAGAGAAACACACAAATTCCAACTAGCACAATACCATTCTGTGACTGGCACTCTCTGAATGTCTACGTTTGCGGTATATCCATGCTCTGACCAGAAACATCCCAACTAAATCCAACTCTTCCTCTTCATGGAGGGACCTCCCCCCCACAAAAGTACTCCATCTGCATTGAGGTCCAAGTGGATGCACAGCTTCTTTGGTACTGATTCACGCAAACCGATATGTTAACTCCAATTCAGGTATTTCCTTCTTGTGCCAACAATAGTGCAAAGTTGCAGGGATGTTCCTTCTTTCTCATAATTTCTTCCTTTTTTTTCCTCTAGGAGATGCTATCATCATCTGTCAGCTTGGAGCACCCTGCTGCCGCTTTGGCCTTATAGCGAGTCTTGATGGCACAGCGAGTGAAAGGCAGAAAGGATGGAGATGAGCTTGCAGGAGTGCAAGAAGGAGATGGGATGTGATAGTGAATCTCTGCTGATGGTTTCAAGTTTGGAAGCTGGGCTGGGCTCTGTGCTATAGCACAAGCAGCAGGAGTAGCTTGGTATGTCTTCTTTTTCTCCCTCTCCTTCCTAGCTCTCTGCTCCAAAATGCTGCTCTGAGATACCGAAAGCTGACTCGACTGCTTTTGCAAATAATTTTGTCCCCCCTCACAAATACTCATGAGTTTTGACTTGGGAGGGGGGGAAGCTGTGGTGAAAGACCTCTGACCTTTACAGGCTGTTACCAGTACAGTTTTTCTTCTTTCCTTCATTGATCTCGATCCCTTCCCCCACCTGCCATGAGCAGCCATGCCCCAAGGCACAGTTGCAGATGATCTACAGTGAAGGAACACAGTCAAACAGAATGTAAACTGCCATGAATTTTAAAATGAATATTCACAAAGAGTGACCCAGCTCTTAGGCTTATTTAGTCATATCTTCAACTTGCTAAAAGGGACTAGGATTTTAAAGGCATTTAAATGATTAAAAATCAAGTCATTTGACAATCCTCGTAGGTGTCTGCTTGCCCTACTTACTCCAGCACTTAATTACTTTTAAAAATCTGGCCAGCAGTGTTTTTCTTCCATACAGATTTTGAGGCAATTTTTCCTGTGTAGAACTATGTCATCAACCATTGTTATGCTGTCACTTTTAAGAGAAGGACGTGTCAACTGCTCATAATTGCCAGATAACCTTTCAGAAAGCATAAGAAAATATGAAGAAAAATAATGATAAAATGGTTAAAATATGGCCACGACATTGTTGTTAATGCGGGTGACCAGATGCCTGAAATGAAAATGTAAGATGCCTGTTTTTACCTAATGAGAATTTAAAGTTGATAGTGCATCAGTGTAGGAATGAAGCTAAGTAACATGACAAGTGAATTTCTAGCAGGCTTATGGCTCACAAGCGCATTTCATGTGAAAGCATGTCATGTGCCTGTCCTGGCTGATTTGTATACAGCTACTGAACAGAAGTATGTAGAAGAAAGCTTGCATGCAAATCTCTCTTCTCTGTGTGCCAAATAAGGGTGTTTTCTTTTCAGTCCAGGAGATGTTAATTATTGGGGCTGAGCAAGGAAGTGCTTTCAGCAAAGAACCTTTGCTCTGAGGAATGGCAGGTTTTCCAACTTAAAAAAATTGCTTTGGAATATGTCTTTTGGTCCTAGGGTTTGCAGAGCAATTTATACTATGTATTATTACAAATTAGTACTGAGTTGCTATTAGAAAGGTAGATGCCAACAAAGGCAACAGCATTCTTTTCTAAAACAAAGAGAGGCCAAAGTTTTACAAGGGCTATTGAAGTTTTACTTGCGTGTATCCATTAGGTAGGGTAGAGAGAAGTAACAGTGGGATGATCACCAGAAGAAGAGCAGTTGAGCCATTAATTGACGTACTCTATTTTTAATTGTTTCAATTCACTTTCATTATTTGAAAAGGAATCTATCATGCCATTCATGATAATTCTGCTCTCTACCTGAAACTTGTTCTTTTCTCCGTCATCAGCATTTCTTAGAAGTAAGTCACTGAAAACTGCAAAGATATATTCAGCCACTGCAATTTATTGCTTAGTTTGCTTATAAGGAACCTCTGATCCTTGATAAGACATATAGAATTACAGATGTAGTCTTCTAGAGATTGCCAGAGTTTCTGTGTCTGAGCATCTTCATACCGTCAGTGTGTCTTGAGCCCTTGAACTTTTAACAGTGACAGCATGAATCCTGTCAGCTTGAACTAAAGGGCTACACTTGTAGTTTCTGGCTCAAGTGTTTTTGCTGACCATGCCAAAATAGTCAAAGAAAGGTGGGAACCAGATACTCACTCTCATAATGGGGATTCTGTTTTTTCTTTGAGCTTCTGTCAAAGTCACCAGGTAAATGGAGACTGGAACTATTTCAGATGTGTGACTGGCTGGCTTTAGGGAGGGCAGGTGGTGTCCTGAAGCCCCTTGGAAAACATCTGTGTTTACACTGGCTCCAAATAATGGCAGAAGTGTTGGGAAGTTGTTGTTAGGGGAAGTTTGAAGAACACGCTAGTGTATTTGATACTTTGGCAAACTTCCCTAAGTAATAAAAAATCCATCCTAATAATACAGATCTATTTTCTTAGTCAAAAAAAAAAAACAAACAAATGAAATCTTTCTTGATCAGCTGAACATCAAGAAGCCTCGACTTCTTATGTTAAGTACTTACATGACTTCTCACTGGTAAGGTTTTCCAGTGTTTGAAGTTGCGAGCTAAACATCAGCCAAGAATGGCTCAGCTATGCTGATTAGGCACGTGAACTCTATGATGTTTCTCTTAACCCTGCAAATGTGGCAGTCTGTTTTTGCATAGATTCAATGTTAACAAATCTTTCTTAAGAAAACAGAAAGAAAACAGGAGGAAAGTGTAGTCCATGAGGTTTCCTCTCTTCTCCCCCTAAATTTTTACAATATAAATACTCTGTGAAATCATTGCTTGGAGTGACCTTGAAGAGGTCCTCAATCTTTGATGAATTGCTTTCAGATTTTATTTCTGAGGAGTTTGCACAATTGAAGAAAAAAGATATTCCTTGGGGATTTCCTAGGGAGATATGTCTGTCTTGTCATGGGATACCTTTCTTCTACTGTCACTAGATGAAACGAGGGGCTCCCCTGGCAAATATAAAAGTTATGTGACAACTCATCTATTTTTAGATGATTTAAATCAGTGAAGAGGGAAAAACATTTGCTTCCAAGACTGTAATTTTCCAGATGACACCATTTTATTGCACGGTGCCATACCATGAGAAAGAGCATTCTTGCGGCTTTTGAACTGGAAATCCTGTAGGAATGCTATTTCTGGCATTTATTTGCTGTGAAGCCAGGCACACATGGAGAGCAGACAGACTGACCAGATACAGTTTGTGGTATTGAGGCATTCAGAAAAGTCCCTGCTGCATAGCCCTTTTCCAGTATACGAGGTGTTGAGTGAAGTTGAAAAATTATCAATGAAGATCAAATCTGAAAGCCATGATCTGATCAGACAGCCAGACTTTCATGCTATTACTGTGTTCCTTCCTCTTGCAAAAACACTGCAAATTCAGCTTTTCTGTCTTGGTGCACTGATGCTTATAAAGTAGCTTTTGGTAATGGACAAGATTTTGATACAAAGTGGAAGCAAAGGCTGAGTGCACACTTTAAGGAAAAACAAAATGCCCCCACTCCAGTTTAACTGGGAAAATTATTTTTTATTTACTTGAGTAAATAAAAGTGAGAATGTGAGCATAGGAAAAAAACACTGATTTAAAAACCAACACAAGGGTAGACAGTTTGGGTCCATTCTTTAGTAACCTTCCTAAGTAGACACTCATATTGAATTCAGCGAGGCTACTCGTGTAATAAAAGTTTTTGCAGGGGTAAGTGCTTATGGGGGTAGCCCTCTCTAGCTCAGAAACATATATCTTTGTGTATATCCTGTATTTAGTTAAACATAGTTAAACTGTAGAGTAGGCTGGATTTTATTTTCTTTTTTTTTTAAGAAAAAGAAGACTGCTCTGAAATTTTTCTTGAATGTAGTTGTGTCTCTCTACAGCCTCTCCCACAGGAACAGCTCTAAAATGATAGTCTGCCTGAATGGAGCAAAAATGTTAATAAATATGGTGCATTCCTCTTTAAAAAGTGTATTTATTTAGTAAGTTTAGAAACCACTCTGAGGTTAGGTTACAGCTATTGGGATTAGAGGGCGTCTCGTGGGCAGTTCAGACATCAAGCTATAGGTCCATGGAGCGAAGCTGAGCTGTTTCTAGCCTGATGTCTGAATTATGAATTAGGTTCATTCTAATTCCAATGGGGTAAACCTCAGAGCAGTTTATATACTTATGGCTAAGTGCTCCTAAAATACAGGCTATTTATTTAAAACATACATGTAAAATCTAATATCTAAAAAAGATGTCCAGCCTAGCGATGCTGGGGCACAGCAACCCAGCCAAACAGAGTCTGAATTCCAGCTCTGGAGCCCTACAGGAGGGAATGGCACAGCTGGCTTTGTGCCCTTACCAATGTACCCAGCTATGCCAGATCCCCGTTTGGCTCAGACTGAACTGAAACAGGCGGAAGGCTAAGTTAATCTACATCAGCCTGAGTCACTTGCCTCCTTCTCAACCATGACAAGGCTAGGAGAGGCTTCAGTCATGATGCCCTCCCTCCCTTGGCACCTTAGGAAAACTCCTTAGGCCAAGCATGTCCTGCTCTTCTCACTTTCTGTCACAAGCTGTGCAAAGAAGCCTGAATCTACTTTCGTCTAGTTTGATGTTCAGGGAGCAGAATGGAGCCAGAGGGTTGGAGAGAAAGCACAGGATTTATTGATAGTATCAGCACCTACTTCATTTGGAGCCACCCTGGCTTCTGAGCTCATTCTGAGCAACAGTGCCAGCTTACCTTAATCACATGTCTTTGACCACTGCTGCTGGAAGTCAGGTAGCTCTGCCAAGCTGTGGTCTACTGCTGGCTTTTTCACAGGACACTTCTGACTGGCTGCCTTGGGGAGAAGAGCAGTCAGTGAGAGTTTCTGCAGGAGGCTAAGCCGTCTCCTCTGCTTCTCATTTTGCCCACACTGCCAGAGAATCTGGGGGAAAGACAGCATCTGATGTTATTTTCCTGGGATGGGAGCAGAACAGAAACCACCCATCATTTTAGCTGACTCCATTGCTGTACGAAAAAAATGAGTCAGTTAACACTCTGATTCTCTCTTTTCTTCTCACCATCTTCCTTTAATTTCCATTCCAGGATGGGAGGAGAAGAGAATATATCTCAGATAGTTGCTTCTGGCTTGGAATTGAGTGATGGGAGGTGAAGACCTGTTGCAGATGCAGAAGAAACAGATGTGTATTAGAGGCAAAGGGGGGAATTAGTTGTCTTTGGGCACTGGAGAATTATCATGGGGCTGAAAGAGTGCATAATTAAGTCATGTGGGGATCCTGGGACCAAAGTTCACTTGCTGTGAATTTGCAAGAGCTGGCAAAACTAAATGTCACAAGTGAGCTAGTGGGAGTTAAAAACCGAACAGGGACAAAAACTACACAATGTCACTGTTTTCAAAGAAATTCAGCCTCGCCATTCTGAAATGGCATCAGGATGCTTACTCATAGTTTTTGGATGCCTGAGGGTGACCATGCTACACTAAGTATGTGTGAGTGTCCTGGGAATTTTTGAATAATTATTCTCCCTCAGCAGCCTGACTCCATTCAGAGATGCGTCTTCATCTGACATAACTGGATTTTGAGCTAGACTCCACTTGGCATAGAAACAAGAAATGCAGTGTTTTCATTTGACTACTGGCATATCAGCAACCTTCCAATATCATTGATAAGTGCAAAGGTAACTGTAATGAAGAATTGTGGAGAGTGACGTAAAAGCAATGAAAGATCTGAACTGTGGAAATCATCTATCCCTGCTTCTGTCCTTTATTCCTCAATTCTAAGTATCATCCAGTTCTGAGCATTGTCAAATGAGTCTTTATTACCAGCAGCTTGCCCCTGGACCATAGCACTCAACTAGATAGCCAGTAAAGGCAAGCCCACACCAAAGCCTTTTATCCAGATTCACTCCAAATGCA